GAAGGGGGTGGGGTAGGCTTTGGGGATGGGTGACTACCCATTGGCCCACCAATCAGCTGTTATGCAGCTGGTAAATAGAATGGTGGGGGTTTGGGGTTTTTTTAAATTGGGAAGGACGAATAAAAATGGGAAAATGTTTGTTGATCCGTATTCATCGAGACTTAAAATTTGATGAATACGGATCTATGAATATTTCACAAATAGGTTATTTTCATTGAAAAAGACGATCCATTTTTATATTCGTCCCCCATCTCTAATTGAAACTATTCATACTTTAAAAGGAAGGCACTCAGCTGTGGCCAGTTTTCCTGCTGCAAAAAATAGATTATATGCTATTAAAATTCACAAGACTTTCTTCTGACATTATCGAACATCTTGCATCTTTGTGCCACGGAGCACCAGAAGGACAAGACTGCAGCACCACTGCTTTCAGATCTAGGGAAGAAAAGGAATAAACAAGAAGGAGGGAGAAAGAAAGGTTGGAAAGTGTAGAGAGGGATAAACAAGAAGGAGGGAGAAAGAAAGTTTGGAAAGTGTAGAGAAAGGGATGGAAGTTCACACTTTTCACCATTCTTTCTGAACAAGTATACCTGGTTTTGTTGTGTCTTCCCACCACCCCCACCACCACCCTGTATAAACTTACTTGCTGTTCTGCTGGATGAGAGAACAGAGGGCTGAAAAGGGGAAGAGAAAAACTGAAGGTGGTTTTAAGAAAGTACAGGATCCCTGCATTGCCTTTTAAAAAAGGAATGAAAGAGGATTGTGCTCGTTGCCCTTTTAAAGTCCTTCATTCCTTCTCTTCCTTGCTGTTGCCTTAAGTAGCCATTCCACTCGTCAGTGAGATGCAGGTTTTCCCCTTTGGTGGCTGGCAAAAAGAAGGAGAAAAAGAAAGCAGAACACCACTTTTCCACACTTCTTCTCTGATGTTGGAGAATGGCAGCCGAAAACAGTATTCTCTCTACACAAGAGAGAGGAGGAGTGAGCAAATCAGCTTCTTTTTCCTTTCTTGATGCCCAAGTCCTGCTATTCCAACAGAACTAGAGTCAAACTCCATAAGAATGTTGACCTCATATTTAGTACCTAATTGATATGTTCCCACCAGTACAGGAGACCCATGCCTACCCAATGGGACTTGCCTGTGTTTATCTTCAGATGTCCAGTCCCTGAACAAATGAAGATCGTTTGCAAATCTGGACATGAGAAAAGTACATGAAGACACTTAGATGTTTTTTAATCCCTTCAGGGAGCATCATTTCTAGATATGAAGATAGGAAGAAATTTCCTTTAAAGGGAAAGGGTGTTGGCAGTGGAGAAACCGCAAAGTGATTGCAAACCGCATGAGTTAGCTGGAAATTCTCCTTTGGCTCACATTTTAATCTGATTTGGAGAGGAATTCAAGGCCTCCTCTGATGCTTCTTCTTTGAAGACATCACTATGAGCTCCTCCTGAAGCTTGCATTTGGGCCTGAGCCTCACAAACTTCACATATATCTCTAATCACACCAACCCAAAGATGACTAGAAACCAAAACATACAGTATTCATAAAGGCGTGCAACTGTGGCTTCAGGACTGCATTGGCTGCTCTCAAGATGGATTTCTACTGATTGTCCAGAGTTAACTTGAAGGACCCATATCAGAAATCCTTTCCTGTGCCAACAACCCCCATCCCTCAAATTTGGCACTGATGGGTAGGTAAGCAGTAAAATCTTCCTGATCAAATAAGGAAGATGTAAAATTATTACATCTGCTGACCAGCCTTTTGATTCTCTAAGCCAAAGATAATGTTTCGTATGTGCATGGACTAACCACTGGACGCAAGTCTGCCAGTGTTCTATGTGCTATCCAAGATTTAATCTGGCATTTTTTCTCCCCACACTCTCTGCTATTGCTTTTATTTCTGGATAACACATCAGTGGCACTACGCCTTCAACACAGGCCATCTTTGCAAACCTAAGAAAATAATAGCATCCACATGTTACTGTTTTTATTAACTGTTGCAGATCTTCAGCGTGGGATGTTACATAGGATAAATAAATGCAGAATTAAAGCCATGGATTTGTAGCATGATCTGTGCTGCACATTTTGTTTAAAAAGGAAAAGTTATTAAAATTAAACAAAAGCATACTTTTTGCCTAAAATTACAAAAAGTTTCAGGCATAAAGGGCAGCTTATTAAGCCCTTATAAAAAGACGGTGTTTTGATTATCAAAACAATATACAGAAATTTAAAAAATGGATTTCTATTAAGTTAGACACTTGATCCATCCATCCCATTTTTGTCAGCTCTGAAGAGCAGCACTGGATCTCCAGAGTTTCTTTCAGCCATGACTTTTCTCCTAGCTGCTTCTATCCGGAGATCCTTAGTATTCCCAGGTGGCCCCTAATTCAAGAACTAAGCAGTTCTAAGCCTGTTTAGCTTTCATAATCAGATGAAATCAGCAGGTTCAGGTGGTGGTAGGAGGAAATATGGGTCATCAGATCCTGTTGGATCATCTTGCTGGTTCAATAAAGGCCTACTTAGTCTTGTTTCCTACATGTGAATGTTCAAAAAGCTGCTCTACCTCATACTGTAACTCCATGGAAAGAATTTTGATTTATGAAATTCCTGCATTCTGTCCTGAAGGCACCCAAGAATGGAAATGCTCCCTGACTGTACACACCAAACTAAGCAGTCCTGAGCACTGGAAGAGCAACACCCCTACATTTGAGCTTATTGGAATACAGAGCACATGCCTTTCTTATCAAGTACCCTAAAATCTGAGCACTCTTCCTTGTCGATTGGGAAACAAGTTTCTCTATTAACACTTTCCAGAGGAATGCTTTCTTCATTTACATTATGATATATATTAATTATTCTTTCTTACTGTCACCTGTATTAAAACCCTCCCATGATTCTCCAGCAAGGCAAGAGGAGAAGGGGAAGAGAGAGGATGAGATGGTTGGACAGTGTCATTGAAGCGACCAACATGAATTTGACCCAACTCTGGAAGACAGTGGAAGACAGGAGGGCCTGGCGTGCTCTGGTCCATGGGGTCACAAAGAGTTGGACATGATTAAACGACTAAACAACAACAACATGATTCTGCAAGTTTTTAAATTTTTTTTTTGCAGAAGTACTTATTTTTGTAAGCATTAATTAAGGGCAATAATGGTCTTTTTAGACTGTGGCCATTGTTGCTGAAAGAAGTACATTTTCCAAGATCTGGTG